GGAATCCTCTTGTGCCGGAGTCACTGATCATATCACCACCCAACACAAGATGCTTATTCATGGGTGTTTAAGCTCTCCAGCCACTCTGCACCCCCACCCGGCTCTGTCTTTACTTTACTGCCTTGTCATCCCTCTGCCAGGTCAGTTTTCCCTGCCCGAGCAGGTCTGGTTATTCCCCACTCACCCAGCCCTCTAAACTGTCAAGCTATCCATGAGGACTTTCCCCTTCTCTTTACCGCATCTTACAATCAGTTCTTTTCCAGACTTACATTTCGTGAAGCTGCCTGTCACAGGCTGGGTTCTCCAGAGATAGACTCCACGGTGCAAACTATTGAGAGGCAATCTGTTGAGATGTAAAATGTTTCTTGGGGACCAACCCCTGAGACAGGAAGGACAAGGAAGCAGGACCCGCAGGAGAGGCCACAGTGGAGCAGGCTTGGCAAGACCAGCCTTGGAGAAGAGCTGGTGGGTGAATATGACCTCTCAGAGGTGCCCCGCCTGGACTCAGCTGGACTTTTATACCCCCACCTTCCTTTGCCACCAGATGCGGGCGCCTCGAGAAGGGCGTGGCTTCTGGAAGTTAGCTCCCTGCAGCTGAGGCAGATCCTGAAGGGGCTGGGGGCTGGGGGCTGACCATGCTCCCACAGCTGGGCAGCAAGTCCTTCCTGGAAAAGAGGTCTGGGCAGCGCGCCCACGTGCACCACACTGCCCCAGGCTAACCCTACAGGAATCCAATAATCCAAGGGCTCTAGCAACCCTGTGGGTGGACAAATATGGCCCATTACTGATACTGACCCAGGCTCCTGGACCCTTTAATCAATAAAAATTGGTATGAGGCCAGATGAGGAATTCAGGCAAGGCTTTGTTGGGACACGGGCTGCAGTACAAAGGAACAAAAACAAGCAACAGGTGCCCTTGCTCACTCCCTGAGCGGGGGTGAGCTGGCCCCTTAAATGGGGTGAGGGGAGGGGCGGACCCAGGGGTCAGGCTGGAGGGGTGGCTTAGGTGGTCTGCCCACCCTCTTGGTGGTGCTGTGTGTGGGGATCCTACACAGTACCCAGCTTTTGCTCCCAGCACTTCGGAAGTGGCAGTTGGGTTTTGGCTTTTTTGTATCTTACTTGTTCATAATTTGCCCCCATGACATGTGTGCAATTATTTTTAGTCCCTACAGTTTCTTTGTATTGTGTTGCTGGAGGAGACAAGGAGACATTTGTCCCAGTGCAAGCACTGCAGTAAAGGGTCCCAGGTCCCAGCTGTCTCATGTGAAAGTCTTCACACATCACACCCCTCATCTAAGGCACCATGTCCCACGTATGCTAGACAGTGATCCTCATGCTTTCATCTGGCTGGTTCCCCAGAACAGAGCTTCCCAATCAAAGATCTGGAAAAAGGCAGACCGAAATATTTCTCTCTCAAGTCCTCAGAGCAAACAGGAGGATTCTGGGCCAGTTGCCTCCACAATGAGCAGCTTATCCCATTGAGCAGAATAACTGTTATCATTTTTAAAACTTTGGGATGCCCTGCTCCAGAGCATCTACTCTTGGTCCTTCATTCAGTTACTGATCATTTACTCTGGGGACATCTATTATGCATCAGGCACTGAGCTAACCACTGCAGACAGAGTGTGGAACAGGTCACATAAATATAGTCCCTGTCATGGAGACACTTAAGGTCTAGTGGAAAAAAAAGATTGAACAAGTAAACACAGAAACAGAACCATAATTAGAAATAGCGCTAAGTGCTAGAGGAGAGGATAAAGGAGTGGGAGAGTAGAGGAGGAGGGTAAGAGAGGAAGTCACAGAGACCAGCAGGTCCAGATCTTGAAGGAGCCTGGGAGCCACAGAATGGTGTTCGCGTTTTAGTCTCAGTGCCAGAGAAAGCCATCGGGGGATTTGTAAGCAATGGATATCATGATGTGATTTGTCTTTTGACAAGAACACTCCTTGTAGAGAATGACTATAGGGCAGCAACAGGGGTGACAAGAAGGCCAGTTAAGAGCGTGTGGCAGTCAGTAATCCAGACTAGAGGTGACGCAGTTCACTGCAGGCAGTCACAGTGGAGCGGGGAAGAGAGGAAAGACTCGAAATATATAACAAGAATCAGTTTTTGCCCTCAAGAAGTTCATGCACTGTTGGAAAGACGGACATGTAAACAAACTATTTAATATGGCAAAATCGTTACTTAACGAAAATATAGAAGGGACAGATGGAGCATCGGGTGGAGAGTGGAAGACTCTGTTGGGGGATGTAGGTGCTGACAGTTGTGTTGAAACAAAAATAAGTAAGCGTTTGCCAAGTGAACTAACAGTGAGCAATGCTTCTAGCAGCTGTGGCAGCCATGATAACGTGCCTCGCAGGAGCCTGACTACAGGGGCCCCCACTGACCAAGACCCGGAACGTTGTGTTCTTCCCGCCCTGCCTGGGCCTCTTCCACTGTGCTGCTCACTTTGTGTATGGAGTTTTATTTGAATGTCTGTTTTTCTCCCCAGTCTCAAGCTCCTGGTAGACAGTCTCTGTCATGGTTATTGTAGCAATAACTATTTCTTGGTGACTAAATGAAAGTCTTCTCTAATGATTGCACCGCTAAACACCAATCACGCCTTCATTTTCCAGCCAGCCTTCCTCATTTACTTCCTACTGTGCAGTCATTTCATATGGTATTTTTCTCTCTCTGGCTTACTTCACTTAGAATGATGATCTCCAGGTCCATCCATGTTGCTGCAAATGGCATTATTTTATTCTTTTTATGGCTGAGTAGTATTCCATTGTATACATATACCACAACTTCTTTATCCAGTCACCTGCTGATGGACATTAAGTTTGCTTCCATCTCTTGGCTATTGTATATAGTGCTGCATTTCAAAGGCACTGTCTTCAGGTGTGGTCTCTCCAACCAGCTCCTCGGGGGTAAAACCTCAGGCTCCTCTTTTTATGCCTTTTCATGGGCCACCAGGTACTGACCTGCATAGTCAAAGGGCCATCCAAAGAGCGCTGGATGAAATGAGTGGACAATATGCAGTAGGCAATTCCTGACTAATGGGGTTTTACCCCTTTCTTGGTTCCCAGGATAACGAAGTGACCTGCCTGCTGCAGAAGGCTTTCAGCTGCTTAATGCCTCCCCAGCATGTCTGCTGAAAATCACAACCCATCGGAAACATCACCTCCTCACTCTCCCACAGCTTTCCACCATCCCACCCAGACCTTAGCTTCAGAGGAAGAGGATACTGAGGGAAGTGAGAAGAGTTCATCTGAAGAATCTTTATTTCCTAAAGACAAAAAGTCTCTGGAGGAAGACCAGTACCTGGAGGAGGAGGAGGAGGAAAAGTATCTGAAAGGAAAGGAGTATCTGCATGAACAGGAGTATCTGAAGGAGGAAAAGTATCTACAGAAGGAAAAGCATCTGGAAGGGAGAGAGGATCTGTATGAAAACTTTCTGGTAGACGGTAAGTATCTGGGAAAGATGTCCCCTAGATGCTAGCTAGAGCACCACAATGCCTAGGAAAAAAGAACAGATTTGAGATACAGCCAAAGCTCAAATGATCAGTCCTACCCACCACGCTAACTGCCTCGTTAACCACCACTGACCAAGTTCTATGCCCTACCTCACAGCCGTGCCCCAGAGCACTGTGCCAGCAGAGCAGACAGGGAGCCCTGAAAAACGAGACATGCTTGTTCATAAAAAACCAAAACAGGCAAACAGAATACACCCCCTCCTTTGTATCTTTTCCTAACCCTATTGCACAAGCAATACGAGTGCATGGTGGACGTTTGAGAAACTGTATAGATGGAAAAAGAAGAAAGCAAAAATCACTCCCATCCAGAGATGATGTTTTCACACTTTGGTAATAATATCCCCAGACTCTACATAGTGCTTATAACTTGCCTTTTAAGATACATTATTTGTATAATACATAAATATAAAATTATTTCTATATTTATATATTATAATTATAAATACTACATACTTACATGAATATCATTCATGCTGTAAAATCTTCTACAAATCATTTGAGTGGCTGCATCACATTGTATTTTCAAACCATAATATTTTTAATTGACTTCCTATGATTGATCATTTATTACTTGATATTTGTGTTACTTTTTTAAACAGCACTTTGATAAACATCCTTACAGCTAAATTTTTTAATGACCTCTAATTATTTCCTCAAATACATTCCCGTGATCTGTTGCTATGTCAACAGAGACTAGAATGCTTCCCGGGGTGCCCGCTCATCCCACGCTGCTGATAGGTACTTAACTTTGGAGTGATTTCTCTCATCTTAGGGCTGACATTTTTTCAATACTGTTTCAGCAATTGGCAACTTTTCTTTAAGTTGGGTTTTATTATTTGACAGTGGGCTCCCTGCCTGTGCTGTTGCTCCAAGTGGCATTAGCCATATGCATTTATTCACAGGCCCACACGGTGTCTTCCCTTAATGTTATGACTGCATGGCTATATCCAACCAGGAACAGAAAGTTAAAAATCCAGGTCATCTGCATCATCGTAATGGTGACCTAGAAATGGAACTATTTTTCTGGATCCCGTTCTGTTACCAACTGCAAGCACCTCAGGCAGCTTGAATTTTTAAATCCCAAAGTGATTGCACACAACCTACATCCTAAAAGGTGGGGGGTGGGTGTAGGGGTAGTTCAACAGCCACAGGCATTTTACCTTTACGTCCTGTCCATCAATTCAGTTTTATCATCCTAGATTCCTTCTACTTTCACAAAATTTCAGTTAGTACATGGGGGAGGTAATTCCTCCACTGCTGGGAGATTCTCTTTTCTGTGTGCCTCTACCATGAAGCTCCCTCTCAGAATTGTTAATGTCCCCGCTGTTCGAGTACCAAGTGTAATTTTAATACTGAAAAATAGCATTCAAGCCATTTCTTTTGCACAGTATGAATCAAGCATTCTTAACATGTCCCTGCTATGCGTCAGACTTTCGTAAATGTATTACCCACTAGAGTAGGACAAATACAATGCTGTCAAGTGAATGGAAATGTGTATATAGCAAAAGCTTTGAAAATAAATGTCCTGCTAGCCAAAATTGGAGAGGCACTGAAAAAACTGGAGGGGAATACTAAAATGCCTTTAAAGGCACATGGAAGCACGTCGCGTTCTACAAAAACCCAAGGTACCAAGCCAGATTGTACAAAACAGGTTAAGAAGGGGTTTACAAGAGGATCTTAAATTTTCAAAAGAGTGTACATCAAGACTTCTTTATGTAGAATTTCCTCCCTATCCCTTTAAGATGTAATTTTGTTTATCTCTTGTTTTGAACCTCAGAGCCTAACAAAAGTGCATTCCTGACTCATAACAGATGCTCAGTAAATGCAAATTGAATCAAGTTCAATTTCATTCATTTCACAAAACCAGGCATGTATATACACACACATGCATGCACACACCCGCATGTATTTTTAAAAACAGCTTTATGAATGAATTGGTACCTATAAAATGAGCCCTAGAAATGACAAATGGGATTCCCTCTCTTATGCTGAAGGATTAATTGTTAGAGGCTAGTGGTGAGGCACTGTAGTGAGAAGGATTCTCAGCCCCACTTTGGGCTCAGCAGGAAAGAGTGCCATGATCCACTAGTGATGTCTGCCACAGGATCAGGAGAGGAAGAAGGAGCATGCATGCCATTTAGTTGTCTATTTTGTGGCAGATATGAATCTGCCACAAAGAGCATTTTTTTCTTCCTCTCTCAAGAGCTCAACTGCGCAGGTTTGAATGCCTCTCTCTCCCACTTATTAGTTAGATGAGCTTGGGCAAGTCACTTAACCTCTCTGTGTCTTAGTTTTCTTGGCTGTAAATTAGGGATGACAGTAGACCTACCTTACTGTATGTTTGTGAGGACTGAAGGGGTTAAAGTATGCAAAGTATTATGCGGTATGCCAGGCATACAGCATTTTAAGCCTATGTAAGTGTCAGCTACTATTACTATTATTATTATTGTCATTATATTTTATTATTCCCTTACCATTGACTTGTGAAGGGTGGATTACATTCCCCTGGCCACATTTCCGTCCTTTGTGAAACGGACGTAACAAAAAGACAAGAGAAGATGCAATGAACTAGGGTGTGGAAGGAATCTATGCTCCCACTCAGCTACTCTGCAGGCAGGTCAGTTTCAGAGCCTCCCAGTTCCTGGACAAACCAGAGTAGCGTCAGACTGACACCCTTCATCCCCTCTCTTCTTTAAAGGGATGATTTTCTCCATGGTTTGTGAGGAAATCCAGTAATATTAGAGGAGCAATTTGAATATAAACACAGCTTTGATTGCTACTGAATAATCACTAGTTACATATGACGGGTCTTCCCGGACTTGAACCCAGGAGGTCCCAAACCATTTTTGTGAAACATGGGTATAAACCCTCTGGTGTCAGAGTCAGAAGATCGGGGGGGGGGGGCGGCAGGGGGGTTGACCTCAGGCATGTCACTTACTTTCTCCAAGTTTCACTTCCCCATGTGAAAAAATACCTAGTGGTTGTGACAATGAAATGAAAGAACATTCTGAAGACACTTTGAAAGCTCTCCCAGACCATGCAATGGTAAGGTGTGAAAATGCTCTTCTGATCTTACAAGGTCCAGGAAGGCTCTAGAAGGAAGATGTCCTAGCTATATTTCTGTCCTGCTGTCACAGAAGCGGAAACCACCCCATAAGGTCTTTTTTGTTTTCTTAGAATCCAAGACCTTCCTAAAGATGAATTCTGCTCTGTGGCAAATAATGCCAGAGAGACGTCACAGTATATTACTTCTGATTCATAATATTTTTACTAAATGGTATTTTGAGCCACATAATTGGCTGGATTTGATTTTCTTTACCCTTGCTAGCTCCTCTTTGGTGGCTCCAAATGCTGTTTGGCCTAAATGCTATAATTTGGATGCCATTTCCAGTTGAGAAGTGGTGTCCGGAGGACCATCTCCAAACAGGGAATCTGGCAGATCTGTGTCTTTAAAAAGATAGGTTTGAGACATGCTGATAAGGCAGGGATGGGTGAGCCAGACAACTCATCAAGCAGGAAAGCTCACAGACTGTGGGAGAGCTTCCCATCAGGGTGTCTTGAGTTGGCCACTATCGGGGGAAGATGTTGAGCCCCAAGACTGGTCGCCCCCAGCCTCCACTCTGTTCCTGTACAGACAGCATCATTTTCTGTGCACGTCTTGCCTTGAAGGTCAGGAGCACAGGCCAGTGGCACAGGGTGTATGGTGGATGTTTCACAATCTTTGTCTCCTATCCTCCAGCCACTCTTTACCCCTCACTTCACAAATGAAGATTCTGGAGTTTGAGAGCTGGTATGTGACTTGTCCAAGGTTACGGAAAATAATTAGAGGAGCCAGGACAGGCTTCCAAGCCTTGTCGTCTTTCTATTCTAATCACTTCTTTCTTTGTCCTTTCCTTCTTCTTTCATCTTTTGTTTCTGGTATTTGCTAAATTATATGCATATTTCAATTGGAGAAGAGTAACATAAAAAGAAACAACATCTACTTTTGTTCATTTTTAATGGGAAATTTGAAAAGCAGAAAATAGAAAAATATCACCCAACCTGTTAATATCCAGATACAAAGCTGATTCACATTTTATCAGTTTTTATTGTGTCCCTCCTGCCTTTATTTTTTGCATGTCTCGTGGTGAGTGGTCCTTGTTTTGCTGGATCATTTTAAACATGCTGTATTTACAAGTTTGGGTTTTACTTTTGTAACTTAGTATTATGACTTCAATATTTGCCTGTGTTGCTAAATTTTTGTAGGCATCATTTTAACAGCCAACTAATAGTCCTCAATAATAGTATGTCTCATGGGTTAACTATGGATAAGTGTAAGTGTTGAACATTTAAGTTTCAAATTCAAATTTTCTGATTCTCATTTCTTTACTGCTTTTACTATGCCATTCTCTAGTACTAGAAGTGACAGTATATTTTATTCCAATTATACATGAAATTCTTGATGTCATATCATTCAAGGTCAACAGTCAGGTGACTGAATGACACAAGTAGTCTTCAAAATTAAAAATAATTTAAAAAATATTTATATTCTCTGACCCTCAGCCACCTCTCCTATACAGATAGATACCTTTCGTCCTGTGACAGGCAGGCCTCTGTGATAACACAACATAGTAACACAGCAAATTTGAGTGTCCAAAATCCGTGATTTCATGAAAATTATCTTCTCAAGTTTTTTCTGATTTTATAAAATTTCAGCCTCATAATTTCTAAAGGATACCATTAAGAGAGACAACACTAAAGAAAAGCAAAAATAGAAAAATTCTGTAAATCAGGGCCACCCCAATCCCAGCATCACATATTTAACAACAGATTTTCTAATAGAAAGAATGATTCTTTCCCTTTTTACACCAACATTGTCTTTCTGTTCTTTCTTCCAAAAGAATTCAAGGCTCATTCATCGCAAACCCCGCCTGATCTTAAAGCAAGGTAAT